TTTTAGCAACGGTTTACGTGGGAGCCGGAGTTCACTGCCTAGGTTGAAAAGGGTTTTAAGGAACAAGTTCGAGACTTCTACAAAAACCGTAAATACGAGTGGACGCAGAAGTGGGAAAAGATCTATGAAACACAACAATAAACCTCCCACAACACGTTTGGCAAGGCCTCATAAAGCCCGAGACAAAGACAATATCAGAGACAAACTCAAAGAACTAGAAAAGCCAACGAGGTGGGAAGGGAATCATTACTCAGAACGATGGATCGAAGACGGTCGAAGCCCGAGAGTTAGCTATGGTGGGATTTATTATTTCATGTGTTATTTCTAAATTTTCATTTAAATACTACTAACATTGTTGTCTTTTGAAGACAATCGCTAATGATGGTATGTCACCGCATATAGACGAATAGAAAGACCAAGCTTAATCAAGATAAGGTAGCTAAGGAGAGCCTCGCGGTGATTGAAGAAGACGGCCAAACTCAGCTCTCTCAAGCAGGGTCAAACGTGGAAGACTTACCTTGCGACGAGATAAATCATATCGTAATGAATTTTTTAATTTTTTCTCTTAAATTTATAAATTTTTTAAAACTAATTATTTGACCTCATTTTTTGCATATTCTGAAAAAAAAGATGTAATTTTGGGTTGGTCAAAATCCGGCTTGAGACCAATCAACGTCTTTTTCGACGTCTTATGCATCTTGTGGATGAAATCAATAAATTGAACGAGCGATTCAACGAGGAGCAATGTGAGCGAGAGAAGTCGGAGAAAGGGAATGAAGAAGCCCAACTATTACTCTCGCAGATGAGGGAATTTTGTCGAAGAAGAGCATCTAGGAGTAAAATTTTAGACGTTCGATTATTTTAAATGCGTTTTATGTTTTCATATTTTCGAAACTAGATTTCATTTCTGATTATTCTAATTTTTTTTTCCAATTTCTTCGGATCTATTCCGTCGGAAACCCCCGGGTCCTTTAATTTCTAACAACCATATACGTCGTTTATCATCGGGACTAAGTATCGTTGGTGTTTTGTCAAAAATTTCTGATGGATCTGAGCATTTGATAAGCCGTTGAAAATTCCGACAGATTTGCGGGTTTCCGACAAAACTATTGGGAACATGCATATTCTGACGGATGTCCAACTATATAGGCCTACGGTTCAGGCTTGTTTTCATGTAGTGTTAGTGTTCCAAAATGTATGAACTTTGCAAATTGAATTGTTACAATACCATAATTGATTGTTAAAATGGTTGACTGATAGGATAGTAAGGTAAATTCATTTGAACGATTTTGAATGACATTTCTATTATGTGGCATTATGTAGTTGTGTTATTATATATGCAATTTCTAGAACTATATAGACCAAGTAAAGCTATGCATTTCTCTAAAGGGTCGAAGTCTTTACTCGAATACATGATAACATTGATCGCTAGCCCGCACATCTCCAGAATCGACATGCAATTTTCATACACCTATTGTTCTCTACAATTTTGTCTGTATGCGCTACAAATCGGTTGGTAGATACCAAATTGACCAAAACAATGAAATTTGTTAATTAAGACATTCAGAGTTTGAATTATATATAACCCTGAAAACGGGGAAAAACGGAGAGAAGGGAGAAAGAAACGGAGGTCCAATTGTGAGACACATAAGAATCGCTCCCTCATTTTCAACACCCAGTGTGTGCGTCTCCGAGCTGCCATCGTTTCTATTTTTTTTTTTTTTTAATTACCCTATCCTACACCGCCACGTGTCCTCTATCTCTAACTGAAAATATTCTCTCAATTTCCCTCCCTCTTAAACCCGTAAAACAACACCCTCTGATCTCTCCCTCTCTCTCTTATTCATTCTTTTATTTTTTTCCCCAGATTTCTCTGTTTATGCCCAACGAGAAATTGTATCACCTTGTCTCTCCTTCAGGTGAATCTCTCCTTCTGTTAATCTCCAGGTATATGATCGATCCATCGTTCGGTACACTGATTCCGTTTGTTTTCCGTTTCTTCAATCTCTCTAGGGAAGGGGATCTAAGAGCTCTGCGCATCCTACGTGAGTCCTCTTTACTTCTGTTTTCCCTTTCGTTTTTACGTACGATGCACAGATTTCCCCTGCCGATTCAGCTTCCTCGAGAAGAGAAACATTGAATCGATGATCCAGTTTCCGTTTTCGTTTTATCTTCTCGCCTGAGCTCCGTTTTGATTTTGTGCATGCTTGTCGTTATTCATCATGACGCGTTTTTGTTTTCTGTACGATGCAGAGATTTTCCTGCCGATTGAGTTTTTTTTACGATTTGTTTTTTTTTTTCTTTCCGGATTTCGATTCTCATCGCTCGAGCTCCGTTTTGATTGGGCATGTTTTTCCAGCAATTTTTTTGGTTGCAGAGGATAAGCGATTCAACGGAATCTCCTAAACTAATTAATGTTCTAATCAATTTGTTGTATACCTCAAATCCAGACGTAGAATCTTAATCTCCTGACATTTACGCTGTTTTTGGTTCAATAAAATCCTTGGATCTTTGCATTTTGATTGTTGAAATTCTCGATGTCATTGTGAGTTGATTTTGTTTACAGGGAGAGATGGCACAGAGCAGTATATCTCATGACTCTGGCCCTCAGACGCTAGCGAGGCGGCCATCTCGTAGTGCCGCCACAACCGTTTCAATTGAAGTTTTTGATCATGAGGTGGTTCCGGCTTCCCTTGGCACCATTGCCCCTATTCTGCGTGTTGCTGCAGAGATTGAACATGAGCGCCCTCGTGTTGCCTACCTCTGTATGATTTTCCGCTTCCTTGTAGTTTTGCTTCCAGATTATGTCACAATACTTCAATGTCATGACGCTCATTTAAATTTCCCTGTGTTGGTATAAAGGTCGGTTTTATGCATTCGAGAAAGCTCATAGGCTGGATCCAAGCTCTAGTGGCCGAGGTGTGCGGCAGTTCAAGACACTTCTCTTTCAAAGATTAGAAAGGGTGATCATCTCTTACTCTTCCATCTTCTTATTGCACACATACACACATAGACAACCTTCTCTTCTAGCATGAGTGGAGCTAATAACAAATTTTACGACACAGGACAATGCATCGAGTCTGGCTTCTAGAGTGAAGAAAACCGATGGACGGGAAGTTGAGAGCTACTATCAACAATATTATGAGCACTATGTCAGAGCACTTGACCAAGGGGATCAAGCAGACAGGTAAAAGATTGT